TCTATTCACACTTCCAAAGTTTTTGAAAAGGACCTTTTTAAAGAGGTACTGCTATAAAACCAAAGGCAGCACAAGAACCGACTTATAATTTTAGAAGTATAAATGAGAATATTTCCAGAGGAACAAGAACAAATTTAGCCTCTGCACTAGTGAGCAACTCTTGAATTTGGGACAACTGGAGCCATGGTGAATTGTATGGGAGCCTTCACTTGTTCATATAGGAAAGAACTCAAAATTTCGCACATGCCTTCAGCACTAGGGACACCAGGAAGATCACTGCAAACTAAAGAAGATTGTTGCCAGACTGTTTCACGACAAAAAACAAGAAGACCCTAGTTTCCTTTATCTGGGTTCTAAACTAGTTACATGCCACATATCTTCAGGTTGTTTTAGAAGATGTTAATAACATATATTTCTTCACAGGTTCAGAGAAGATTCCTCTCCAACTAAGAATGAGAACGTGAACTGGTGCTGACACACAGTTGATGCTGTTTCCTTGAAGCTCGGAGAAGTGTGTGTCTGTCTATCTCCAGTCTTCATGCCATTGAAAGCTGGGATTTTTGGCAAGACTGCACAGTCCCCACCAGAGTATCATATTTCTGGAACTCCAGAATAATGAGGAAAGCACAGCTTTTTCAAAAGAAGTTTCATGTCATACTTATTTCATAACTATTTTGCAAAAGCAAAGTGGAATCAGGGACTCTGATTCAGCTCGATGTAAAATACTTGAGATATAGAGAGCCTGGCATCCATAATAGTGCTAAGCCCAAATATTTAGCTGATGCAAGGTGACTTTTAAATATATGATAGAAAGAAAACACAAGCAACAGGTCATTATAAAACAATTATTCCCTGGAAAGGAAAGGCTTAAGAGTTCTCCCATAATTTTGTAAGATGTTTTATACGCAATTTAAAATAACAACATGTAAGCTTCCAGGTTAGACAGGGACTGGGTCCAGCTGACCTTGTGTACCTTCTCATAATGCATCCAAAATGAGAAAAGAAAAATAGTCAAAGGGAAGTTCAGTGAACACAAACATCTGAGAAATCTCTTCTTGTTAAATTACAAATGGACCCAGACTGAAGTAAGACACTGGGAACTTTGTTGGCAATTCCACTTTCCAAGACAGGATGTAGTATTTGGAAGGAGAAAGCTGAAGACTGAGTGGGTCTTAAGGGGTGCACTGTGTCCTTGACTCATTACCTATTTCATTGGCTTGGATCAGCCTTCTCAGAAGCCCCAGGGAATCCTGGCCAAACCAAACAGAAGGGCTGGTTTATGGCAAGGTTTTCTCCTATGCAATGATCAGGCTTTTTCTTTTTGTAGGGTGAGCAGTGACATTAAGAATAAAGTTAGCCATCTGGATCTCAGGAGTACCCAGTGTAGTAGCCAGGTCCAACAGGGAACTGGGCCTGCAAAGCCAAAACCTGCCTGGTGGTACTACTTCAATAAACAAAGCACCCTTATGTAGTAATTTCATTTCTTAAAGGCAAAGGCCCTTAAAACTTCATACATGATGAGGCCTGAGTTGTGTTGTATCAGGCCAAGCTGCCACCTGTCGTAATGGCATCCTATACTGGAACACAAGTTGTAGACCCAGTTGCTTTGCAGAGGGGATGATCCAAGTACTGCGGCTCATGCCACCCACAGGGCAGACCCAGAGAGTGCCTACTTCTGGTTCCTGGTCATTTTGATTATTTAGGCAGTGAACCAACCGAAGGAAGATCTCTCAGTGTCTCTTCCTTTGTTTCTGTTACTCTGCTTTAAAATAAACACGCAAATCTTTTGAATTTAAAAAGTTCATATGCAATGAGAAAACCAAATAAAAATAGGTCAAACGTATTTGTAAAATGATAGATGCTATCATCCTAAACAAAATTTAAAAGGAAGTGAAGTGCTATTAAAAAAATTATTTGCCCCATACTTTTATACTTGGCAACCACAATTCATGTCATCAAGATTTAGTGCAAAACAACCATCTCTGAGTAAAAAATGGATCACAATCAAATGTGGAAAAAAGTGAATATCATTGTTTTAATGGATATTTTTAAAAGTTAGAGCTAAATAAGGCCAATGGTTTTTGGAAAAATGTTCGACTTCATTACTATAGAAATGTAGTTCAAAATGGGACAACACTTCTCACCTGTTAAGTTAGGGAAGGGATATTCAAATGATTGTAGCCGCAGACACGGAAACTGCATGAAAAAATTCAGTTAGGTATCATTTTCTGCAGAACAACCTGACACAGGTATCAAAGACTGTAAAAGACAATCTTCAATGTGATAATGTTACTTCTGTAATCGTTAGACATATAGACAAAGCCAGTCTCACACTATTGTCTATAACAGCCTAAATCTACCAAAAAAAAAAAAAAAAACTTCAAAAAGCTTAATTAAAAAATCAAGCTGTTCTGGGGGCAAAAAGTTTGAAATCTATTCATGCAAGGTGTCTACAACAAATTCATGGAAAACGTGTGATAGAAAAACCTTTTACATGGATCCCCAAATTCTGAACTAGTTTTGGGACCCATTCAATTTTCCATGAACTCCCTGAAGTGCCCCCTGAATGATGACAGGTAATGATAGGATAAATATTAGAAAAAAAAAAAGTCAAGGTGGAAAACTGTATAACCATAAACAATGACACAGAAGTGTAACACATTATGGCAACAGGAATACAAAACAAAGGAAAGGAAGAAGGAGCCAAATTATAAGAGAATAAACGTTTTCTCCCTCTTCTAGGTAAGTGCTTTTAATGCATGCTATAGATACATGGTTGAAAACATACCTGTTACCTAAACTGCTGCAAAAAGCCAAGTGTGCCAAACATACAATGATTCATGGGTTTTTCTGGTTATTGTGTTTTCTAGAAGTCATATTCAGTATCAATGAAATAAAATGTATCTTAAAAGAGGAAAGAAAAATGAATCAAAGGGATTTCAACAATGATCAAAATCTAAAGGACATATTTTTAAAATAATAATCATTTAAAATTTAATGTAACATGACATTTGTGGTACTAATATTGACAAATATATGCATGGCTTAATTTCTAAGAAATCATACTTTTGCTTTAGGACATAAAAAATCTGTAGAAATGGCTACATCATATTCTGAGTTGGAAAAACTAAAATCTGTTTATTATATTTTATATTGAAAGCAAAATCCTTAATGATTTTATTTGGGCTATATGAAAGTGAATTAAAAATTCATTTAACTAATAAAAAGTACTGATTTCAAAAAAGGTAAAAGATGAAGAGAGAATCTCAATGAGCAGATATTTAAACATGTTGTAAAATTATCATAGTTAAATCATCTTGGCAAAGCTTAAAAACAATAGGATGAAACAGAAAGCTAGGAAGAGATTAAAAATCCTCTTACACATCTGATATGTGGTAAAAGAGGAATTCAGTTTAACTTGATAGGATCAGTGGTTATTAAGCAAATGGTACTGGTGCAATTGGTTAACTATTTAAAAAACAAAAGTGTACATTTTTATTCTACCAAATGTTCCAGATGAGTTAAGCTATTAAATGGAAAACAATTTCTACACTTCGGAAATGTTAAGGCTACTCTATGATTATAAGGAAATATAAGATCTTAAGGGAAACATCTTATAGATTTGAGCATTCAAACTTTACATTATCCTTTTACCAATGCTGTCATAAATGAAAGTAAAACACAGTTATCTACAAAAGCAAACTGAACAAAACTGAAACAAAACCGAATTTGCAGCATATACAAAAAAAAAAATAAGAGAATTTGGGGCTTTACTACATAAAGAGCTTTTATAAATCATTAAGAAAAATTAATGTATAATGACAGCAAGAGGAAATAAAATGCATCAAGGTAACTGTCAAAAGAAATAAACATAGATGCTCAATAAAAGTATTGGTAAATGTGACCTTTGAAAGTCAATACTTTGGATTCAGTAAGATGATGCTTCTATTCAAGTCTGCTTGATCAGGATAGTAAAGTTAATGATGCATTATACTGGCGAGCAGGTCACAGATTAGCTCTTGTGACACTCCTCCGGAAAGAAGACAGATTCCTACAACCTTCCAAGGGAGGAATGGAGGATATGCATCAGGAAGTTGAAAAAGTTCACAGCTTTGCAGTCGCAACTTTTAGAAAATTATTTGTAAAAAGTAACCAGAAGACTCTACAAATATTTCCATTTTCTGTAACCCAGCAAAGAGAAATCCCAAGTACCGAACTAGAGGTGCTGAGTGAAGCTAACTGTGGAATAGTACACAGCTAACGCAGAGCATTTTAATCAGCATGCACCAATGGAAAACACAAGCTAAACTACAAGGCACTAACTGTGTAGAAATACATACTGGATGAGCGTTCAATCACGTACAAACAGCAGATGTTTAAGGGTGATACGGTTGTAATACTTTCATGACTTTCTCCTTTTCATTCATTCTACAAACATTGACTGGCCTTATTATGTGTCAGGTATTTCTACACGTTCCAAATAGTCTTTGACTAAGTATCAAGTGCTTTGTCATCTAAAGAGATAGGTTTTTGTAAAAGTCCATCAACCCAAACTGATTTCCTTTTCCAGGGGCTAAATATTTCGTAAAGGACTAGGACACGCTGCTGTAAGCATACAGTACCCTAGCAAGAAATGCGGAGGTATTCTAAACACCACGTCTCATTAGGAACATTGCCTAAAGCCTAATCCCTTGGCTGCCGGCTGTTCCAACAGGTACGAATGTGAGCAGCATCCGATGGACCCCCTCTTTCCTAACAGGCTCAAACAGGATCTTTTAAGTGGCCTGACCTCTGCTTAGGCATTCAAAACCCGTTGCCCCACTTGAACTTTCACAAAAGTGGGGTGCTAAAGGCTGATTCGGGGGAATGGAGACGCTTGACCTGGGGAGGTTACGCCTTGGCCAGGACTGAGCCGCGCTGTGGGGACGTGCAGGTAGCGATGTGTGGGAAGGGTCTGGCGGCAAGCGCCAGGACCCGGGCAGGAGGGGCGGGCGCCTTACCGCCGCTTGCTGGAAGGCGCCCTTGGTGTAGGTGCCGCCGCCGCGGTAGGTGATGGCCGGGATCTCGCGGCTGAGCAGTGCGCACTTGTGCTGATGCGCACGGCGCGTGGAGATGTAATCCACGCGCGGTACCACGTTGTTCTTGGACGAGAAGGTCACGATGGCCACGCGAGTGGCCGTGGGCACCACGGGGAAGTCGGACAGCAGCTTGCGGACGAACTTGAGCTCGCTGAGAAAGTTGGCTTGGCCCACGCTGGACGACTCGTCCACCAGGAAGACGAGCTCCAGGCGCTCGCTGAGCTCCCGCAGCCGCCGCACGCGGCGCCGGAACGCCTGGCCCAGCCGTTCCACTTTGCTCTCGGCCGCTTCCTCTGTGGGCGCGGGCAGGCGCCCCAGAGCCCCCGGCGCGGCCTCGGGAAAGAGGCGGAAGCTGAAATTGCGCGACGGGGCCATCTGCTGAAAGGTCGCCCAGCCCGAGACGAGCGCCAGACCCCAGTAACAAAAGGCCAGACGCGGCCACATTGCGCTGGCGACGGAGCGGCCGCCCCGGAGGACAGGCGGCGGCCCCGGCGGGGAGAGGCGCCTGGTGGCCCGGCTCGTGGAGGGGCGTGCGCGGAGCGGGTCGTGGGCAGCGGCCGCGAGCCTCAGCGCCCTTTCATCTGACACTGGGGACACAATCCAGACGCCTCTGGCAGCTCGGGGACTCGGGAGGGAAGGGCGCAAGCTCTCTGTCCCTCTCTCCTCCTCCTCTCCCTGCCTGAAGCCTATAAAATGTTTGAAGGAAAGGGGGCAGTCAACAAGGATCTCCTGCTTCCCTCCTTCTCTCCCTCCACCCCCACTCTGCGTCTCTGGCTCTCTCCTCTCCACTCCCCTGTCTATCTCTGCCTCTATCTCTCTCCTCCCCCTCTTCTCCTCCCGGGATGCAGCCAAGGGCTCGGAGATTCCATGACACCAGAACCCCGCGTCTGTCTGTCAGGCTGTCAGCATTCCCGCAGCAAGAGCACCAGCACCGAAGCCTTGATTGATCCCATATGTCTGGCAGGAGCTGTGGAGGAATTCACTGGAGATGGATCCAGATACCGAGAGTGCCACAGTAATTGGAAACACTTTGCAGAAGAAAACACACACGCGGACTGGCCGGGGAGTTGAAAGCATCCTTTGAAAACTGCTTATTCACCTTTTGTGTCCCACCCCCATCTGGGGCCCCAAAGCCCTTGCCAAGGAGCCCTTTGCATGACTTTCCTGATGGCCTGTCTGAGCAGCGTTAGGCTAGTCGCGAAGACCCTTGAGGACCCTTCAAACTACACACACCAGTGCATCCCATGGCGATAGATAAACATGCTGTCTCATCGATGCATTTATTTGCTCCTCTGTTTCTTCATTCTTTCTTTCATTTAATACCTGTTTTCTGAGTCCTCATTGTATGTCAAGATTTATCCTGGACCCGAAGAATATGAGGAGGAACCAACACTGGCGTGACTGTTACCCTTTAGGAATTTAAGGGGTGGCAGGTAAGGGGACCAGGGACTAGATATTTACCCATTTGTACCCTGAATTATAACTGACCATTCTATGTAGTCTGAAGGATGGGTTGGTGAATAGAATTGATTTTGGGAAGGTCAGTTACACCCTCTCCGAGGATGCGGAATTTGTGCTGAAATGTGTGTGAAAGACCTTTCCCCAATACTTTCTTCTTGTGCTCTTAGTTGCATGAAGTGAGAGGCGTCCAACTTTTCATGGTACTACAGTGTTTTTACCTTGAAACACAGATTGCTACCTGGAGGTGGGGATGTCCAAAGCAAGCTCCCAAAGCGGATGATGCAAGTGTAAAAAACGAACACACTTGACACATAGGTGAGGCTTTGAATTTCATCATGAGCTCAGTGTTTCCCCTGAATCTGATAGTGAATGACTTAATTCCACCTACATTTAATGAATTACCTGGAATTAGAGATATCACAATGTCTGTGTTGATATGTTACCTCTCTGATGTCAGTTTGCGTAGAATGAAACTTTCACCCTGCCATGATTAATCCTATAAACTTGACATCAGTTGCTCATTAGCAAAATAATGTTAACATCTTAATAAGGATGAGTGTAAGGATTAAATCATAGAAGTAAAGTTCTTAAGATAGATCTTGTAACAACATAACATGTACTTGATAAATTCTGCTTGCATTAATTTCACCTTTGCTTTAATTCCTATTTTTTCTAATAGGTTTATTAGCCATCTACTCTCTGCCAGTATGTGGACACTGAGCCTTTCAGAATGAGTCAGTCTTATTTGCAGTCCTCCATAAATTTCAAAGTGCATCAGAAGAGAACATAGATTTGTAAACAATTACAAAACAGTAAGATGGTTCCAAGAATAGAGAAGAGAGGGCAAGGATGAGAAAGGTCTAAATCTTTCTGGAGAATTAATGAGACATCATTTGAGCTGGGACTTTCAAAAAGAGAGGAGGGAGCTTTTTTTTTTCCCTCCAAATTTTATCTACTTTTTATTCTTTAAAACACATCACAAAAAGCTAATATATCAGAACTTCTGTGTTCAAGGCACCATAGCAACTGCCATGTACACTGTGTCATGTGCTCCCCACAAAAACTCAGGGAGGTGAAAAATTGCCTTAGAACTCTAGTGTTGCAAGCAATGAACACTTCTTAATTAAGCAAAAAAGATTTCTAGGCTCAAGTAGTTAAGCTGGGGAATGGGAGGGGTGGAGCTGGTCTCATGAAGACTTGGAAAAGAAAGTCAAGAACTACTAAGATCTTCCATTTTTCTCCAACTTCTGCTGCTACACTTTGCACGCTTCATTTAGTTTCTGATGGTCAAAAAAAGGAAAAGATGCTTCCCCACAAGGTCAACTTAAAACAACAAATGAACAGAACACAACATCACCTTAAAGGATTGTCTCGGAGAATGCACACATCTTATACACCTTCCTTAACTCAACATTTGTAATAAAGGGTTATATCTGTCATAACTTAAGTCTCATGTTCACTGTGGCAGAAAATATTAACCACCTGCCAATCTTCCTAGTCACCGACCTACTTTGTTAGTCATATACCAAACTTCTTACAAGCAATAGAGCCCCTGAATTTTAGTTGGACACAAAGGTTCATAAAGAATACTTTGTCCAGCTTCTCTTGTGGCCGAATCTGACCATGTAACTACATTCTGAGCAATGATACAGATGTTTCAGTTTTGTTTGGCAGCTTCTACGGAACCTCATTGAAAGACAAATGCTGCCTCCTTTGTCTCTTCCCCTCATTCCTTATTCTATAATTCTGTGTGGAACACAAATATGTTGGCAGAATTCTACCAGCTGTCTTGGGCCATCAGATTTCCCTGACAATACTGGTCTCATTCCAGGGAGAGGTAACTGTTGAGCATGAAGAGAACCATCATGCTCATCCCAGATTGACTGTCTACCGTGTGTGTGTGTGTGTGTGTGTGTGTGTGTGTGTAGGGGATGTCTGTCACATCCAACTGAATTTAATCATGACCAATACACCCAAACCTGTAACTGTGGAGTTTGCAGTCTCGGTAGATGCTTTCATGAGTGTTGTGGCAGACAAAAAAAGGAAATGGTAAGTTGTACTAGGTTTTTCAAGTTGCCTCTGAAAAGCAGCACAATCATTTCTGTTGCATTTCATTGGCCGAATCAAGTCTCATGGGTGTATATAAACCCAAAGGGATAGGGAAGAACAAACCAACAATTTTCCCAAAAAGCAGAAAGCGTCTTAAATTAATTTTAAAAAGACTGCTGTTCCAGTTCTTCCAGGTGCTAGACCCTAGTGGTTTAAAGCAGTGTTTTAAATCTGAACACGCATCTTAAAAGTACTGAAATGACCACCTGCAGCAGAACTGGAAAAATACTACCCTGGACTCATACAGACTTGCAATATATCTTGGTGGGGAAGGAAAGGAGAGATGCATTGTGTTATTCATATAACCTGTACCTGAATTCAAAGGCCAACAGTTTGTATGAAGCAGAAACAGAGTCTCCATCCTGTCTACCCTCTGGGACCTGTGTTTGAGTTGAGGACCTTGCCTTTACCCTTCCTTTTCCTGCAGCTCTCTTTCTCTATTGAAGTAGATACTACAAGAAGAGAAGAAAGAGAAGACACCTTCTGAAGGAAAGGTGGAGGGGCACTAACAGTGTGATACTGGAAAAGATCCTTCTGGAACATCAAGAATGAAGGTTAGTAACGGAACAGAGACAGCAAAACATTTCAGTTTTCATTTGTGCTAGGCATTGTGCTTTATTCTGAAATTCACAATGCAGTAACAGTGGAGCACAGCAGAGGGCAGTGGTGACAGGAGGACGATGCCACCTTGTCACTGTATTTTATAGTACTATCTTTCTGTTATGAATTTAGCAAAGACATTCCCCCCATATACAGAGCATGGGTTAAGTATGTCATCCTGTACTTTTTAAAGTAGAATTCCCTGAAGTTGGAACAAAAGGGAAAATATGCTGGCAGTAAAACATAGAAATTGTTATAGTAAATCTGGCTATAACATTAACTATAGTAAAAATCTAGGATACATATTATTTATGTGCTTTATCTCACTTAACCCAGAAAAATGCTCTGTTCAATAAATATGATTCATAAAATAATTACATATATTAATAGATGGAAAAATAAAGCCATACAAGATGAAGCCGCAGTGACTATAGCTATTTTTAAAGTTTAAATGTTATAATATAGTAAAATTTGTTTCTGACTCTTATAGTTGCAGGAATTGAGACACACATGCCTACTCATGTAGCCACAACTACAATCAGATTCCACATTAATTTTCCATCACTCCAAAAAAAATCACATTTATACTTATGACCTCCTATGAACCCTAATCCTTAGCAAGCATTGATCTATTCTTAATCCTTAATTTTTTTTCTATTTAAAAATGATACTGCAGGGCCCGCCGCGGTGGCGCAAGTGGTTAAGGTCCTCACCTTGCACGCCCGGGATCCCATGTGGGCGCCGGTTCTATCCCAGCAGCCCCACTTCCCTTCCAGCTCCCTGCCTGTGGCCCGGGAAAGCAGTCGAGGATGGCCCAAAGCTTTGGGACTCTGCACCCGCGTGAGAGACCCGGAAGAGGCTCCTGGCTTCGGATTGGCATAGCGTCGGCCGTTGCGGCTCACTTGGGGAGTAAATCATGGGACGGAAGATCTTCCTCTCTGTCTCTCCTCTCTGTATATCCGCCTTTCCAAAATAATAAAAATAAATCTTTAAAAAAATGATACTGCAGTGGAATGAAGCAATATATAAATTTTAGACTCCCAATGTAATATCTTTGACATTACACTTGTACATAGGTTTTACTTTCCATTTAATAACAAAGAGTCCTCAAGGACGAAGTTATTAAATTTTGGAATGAAAAGTTTGGTTTCATTATAAGAAACCATCAAAGTATTCTCCTTCACTTACCAGTGAGTAAGATATGAAGGAACTAATGAGGAGACTTAATTTTCTGCTGAACAGTTAAGACTCGATAATGTGCCATTCCTAATTCA